AAAAGTTAATTCTCACACTTCAACATCCTCATTTGTCCCGCAGTTCCTGAGAGAAGAATGCAATTGGCTCAGCTGTTTCTAGGACAACCAATTCTACAACCCTCCCACTTTTGAGTACCAAGTTCTAATACTACAATAAATTACTCAGTAAACCTGAAACACCAGACACCTCCTATTGCTTCTTCCCCATACATACAAACCAGGCTCAGCAAACTTTTTCTATAAAGGGTCATGGAAAAATACTTTTGGTCTTACAGGTCTCTGTTTCCACTGCTCTGCCATTAAGGGCAATAGCAGCCATAGATAATATGTAAGTAAGTGAAGATAGCTGTGTCCCAGTAAAACTTTATTCTTGATGACTGAGGAAGTGGTTCAAGCAGTAGAGCATCTGCCTAGAAAGTGTAAGACCCTGGGTTCAAAACCCAGTACCATCAAAAAAATTTACCAATGAAATTTGAATTTCATAAAATTTTCATGTACCACAAATCATGTGATCCTTGTCTACCATTTAACAATGTAAGGAACCTTCTTAGTTCTAGGACTGGAAACAGATGGCAGTGGGCTGGATTTCCCCAGCCTTCTAGACCTTTCCTGTGGTGCTATTTTGACACAAGGGTTAGAAGCTGGAAAGCAGCAGTGAGAGCTGAGTAGCACTTTCTGAAAAAAGGTTCTGCAGAATCAGCTGGTTTCCTTCTCTACTGTTTTCTTCTTGCCTAAAAGTTTAGCTCAAATGATTTCAAATTAGAACTGAGATAACAAGAACTATGACATTTAATTGCTAATATTTAATCACAATGGTATTGGCTGACAATGTTTTTACCTCTTAAAAAAATTAAAGTCTTCTCACTATGCAGACACCATTTCTCTATCAACTTTAATTGATAAGTAATTCTACTTTTCCCTCCACCCTCCTGACTCAAATTCATTGTCTCCACGAATAAAATGCAAATAGAACCAGTGAACTAACAGTTGAAGGAATACATTAAAAAAAAAAAAAGTACTAACAATGCTGGGTTTCAGAAGGCTAGGAAGAAATACAGTCACAGTCGGTACACAGTAGAGGATTGTAGTACAGTCTTCCTGGAAGACTGTTTGGCAAAATTGGCTAAAGGTTGAAATATACATTAACTTTTTGACTTAACATTTATACTTGTAGAAAGTTTATCTGAAGGAGATAATCAGACAAATCAGCATACACATGTGTTCAGTGAGTTCTACTTTGAAGAAGTATAATGTCCAACACATGGCATAATTAAGTCAGTCACGGCTGGCATACAAATGGAATTCTAGGCAGCCAGAAAAAGTAATGACATGGATTAGTAGCTGACATGGGCATGTCACCAATACAGTATGAGAAAAAAGTATGCTATGAAGCTCCATGTACTGTTGATCTCAATTGCATACATGCCTGCAGACGGTGCTGGTGTATGTGCCAGTGCGTGTGAGAGAGAAAGGAAAACAAAGGCAGAAAAACAGAGCTAAAACAACGTTCAAGGTGTGTGTTCAGAGTGGCTATGAGCCTGGGTGCCAGGAGCTTAAGCCACTTTCACCTTCTTGCTTACATTTCTTCTGTATTGTTCATATTGTTTTGCAACGAGTCTATGTGATTTTTAAAATGTAAGGACTTACTAGAATGTACAACACCAAGAGTGAGCCCTAACATCAGCCACAAACTTGATGATAATGCCATCAACGCAGATGTCACAATTTTAACAATGCCTCAGATTAAGGTAAGAAGTTGATGGTGGGGACAGCTATGGGTGTGGAGGGGCAGCGGGGAGATAAGGTCCACTGTGGTTTGCAAGTGTCTCCCAAAACACATGTGTTGAAGAAACTCAATCCCCACTGGACAGTGTAAGACATAGGACCTGAGAGGAGCTCAGGCTGCAATGACTCCACCCTTATGAACAGATTAATCCTGACTGTAAAAGGCCTGCTCTGTCTCGTCATGCGGTACACAAAGAAGCCCTTCAACAGACGCAGCTCCTTCACCTTGGACTTCTCAGTTTCCACAACTGTTGAGTCAAATAAACTCAAATTACCAAATCTGTAGTGCATCACTACAGCAACACAAAACTGATTAAGACATAAACTATCTGTACTTTCGGGCCAATGTCTGTGTGAACCTAAAACTGTTCTTTAAAAAAAACAGTCTATTAAAAAGAAAAACAAAACTCATTAAAATAATTCTTATTCAAACAACTCAAAAATTCTGTTCATTAGAAGCAATTTGAGCCCCGAAGGAGTGATTTGAAAAGCTGTTATCAAAGGTGGTTTCAAAATTCTACAGATTGCTCAACATACAGGGGGGGAGGGGGATCAAGAGAAGCATTACACACTGTGCACATATAGGTTCCCCAGCAGTCCCACCAGAGGAATCAAAGAATGCTCTCTTCTCTTTTGAGAGCCCATTTTATGCATTCACTCTGTGCATACTCTACGGTTTCTCTCCTGTTATTTCTCATTTAGTAGAATGTTTTCAGTGAAAGCTTAGAAGACTTAAGATAGAGTCAGATAATTGAGGGCTCCAGAAGAGCAATTTAATGCTTTGTCTTACATCAGCTTAAAAATGGAGCTCTAGCTGAAGTATAAGACCCTGCTGCTGAAGATATACCAGACTCAAGGGACTGTGATCAAAGAACAAATACCAAGATGGGTTCTGATCATCAGCCTGCTACGTTAGTGAGAGGCATTCTGATGCAAGTCTGAAAAGAAAACCAGGGTTAGAATAAACTCATGGGAAAATATTAAATCTTGATTTAGTATTTCACTACATGAGAAACATGTACATTTCAATTTATACGTCCTATACATTCCCACACATATAAATATACGTGTACACAATCACATCATAAATATCTACCTGCATTTTAACAGTTTAAAATAATAAAAGGCTTTTATTGGCCTTTAAAATAAATGGTTTCTATTATCAAACATATACATTGTGTTGGGAATTATGTGAATGAGATCCAGACTTATTCAAGTGCTGAAAGGAAAAGACCGCCTTCCCAAGAACTAAATCCTTAAGTCCAACTACAAAAGGACGGGCACCATTGTGAAGAGTTACAGAAGGTGGCGACATTTCAGGAGCAGCATCTCAACAGTGGGATGTTAACAAGTTTATAGGGAAAATCAAGCCCGTAGAATCTCATGGCTCCAAATCACAAGTTTTCAAGGCACTCCTTTCAAGTAGAACTATGTATGAATTCCAATGAAAATGAAATTTACACAGGGCAGGAGTCATCATTACAACATGCCTAATAACCTCAAATTGCTGCCTTGGGTGCAACAGGTGCCACTATCCACGTTTAATATCAATGTCATTTGTTGGAGCTTAGCATTACACACACGGAACTAGAGGAAGTGTTTTCTCGCTGCACACGTTCTCCCCAGATTCCTGCTAACCTGGTGGAGCATGTTTGCTACTTTCTCTTGGGAAGCTTTTAGACAAAAAATGCAGTTCATTTCACAGCATAAGTTTATGGTCAAAACACTTAATGATGCAGGCAAGGCCTCTAGTAATTAAGAAAATTTTTGGCAGGGCAGTTTTTCCACAGTTACAGAGCTCTTTCACCTCAAAAGTGGTGAAATAGCATATTGCAATCTCATTGTAAATCCTGTTTCCTAAAGAACCCGAGGCTCATTGTCAGAAGGTATAATGGGTTCACAAGAAACAAACCAACTCAAAATGACTGGGCACAACCACCAGATCAAGCTAAGATCACTATTAAAGCCACGAGAAAAACAGCCTGCCTCCGCCCTTCCTAATGCCTGAGCTTCCTGAGGGGAGGCACCTACACATTTCCTAGCCATATTTTATCCCCAGGCTTTTGTATGTCCACATGGGAGAAGCAGGTGGGATGGTTGGGATGGCTTATCATGCCCAAACTGAACTTGCCCTAGAAGGAACTGTACCACAGAGTCCCTCCAAGACCTGAGGAGCTACCTCAGTGCACTGAACTTAACAATATTCAATATATGTGCAGAATTCCACGCAATATTCAGGAAACAATGTCAACAAATTTTACCTTCACAAGTATCCTAATGAAATGGGTTTTAGTATCACCATTTTTTCAATTAAGGATCTTACAGTCCAGAGGTTAAGTGGCTGATCAGAGACACGGAGCTAGAAGCAGGATCTGGACTTGGACAACGGTGAACACTTGTAAACTGCCTCACTGCTGGGCAGGAGATGGGGCTCAGATTCTGCATCTGCACCACCCGGGCCTGAGCCTGGATGCAAGGACAACACCTTTATCCTGCTGCTTCGCCGCTACAAGGGGTGTACTCTGCCCTATTCCAGCTTCCAGGGCTATTAGGAGAACAAAAAGCTCTATTCAGGCTGGGCACCAGTGGCTCACACCTGTAATCCTCGCTACTTGGGAGGCTGAGATCAGGAGAATTACAGTTCAAGGCCAGTCCAGGCAAATAGTTTGTAAGACCCCCATCTCCAAAATAACCAGAGCAAAATGGACTGGAGGTGTGGCTCAAATGGTAGAGCGGCTTTGCAAGCTCAAAGCCCTGAGTTCAAAACCCATTCCCACTAAATTAAAAAAAGCTCTATATAAACGTGTCATGTGCTAAATGTATCCAACTCTGAACAGAAATTACTTTTAGTGACATAGAAACTAATTCCAAAATAGAGTTTTCTTTGCAGCCACCTTAGAGTATCTTTTATGGTGTGTATCTGGTGTCACCTGTGAAGAGACAGACCAACACACAGGAAGTCAAGGCCTTAGTAGAAAAGCTAAACACCCTGCACTAGGTAATACAGATTTGATGTTTATTGTTGAGGACGGCCAAGCAGTTTTAAAATACAAAGACATTTTTAAACAGCAATTTGTATCCAGAAAATCACACTTTCTTTTGAAGAAAAATAATCTTGATTTAAGAACAAATTAAAATGATCATTTTAACTTCAAAATGTCAAGTCCTGAAAGAACAGGATAACGATTTAAAATACAGAACTCAGAAAGCCAAGAGCTAGAGTTCTTTCTTACCTCCCACATGTACACATTGCTCTTAACCTGAGATCTTTTTTTCTTATCACCAAGAAATGGCCCAAACTTTTTGCCTTTTAAAATTGGCTTAGTGGCCCAGACACCTAGAAGATAAAAACCAGTATTTTTATAATGTGGTTATTTTAAAAGATGAAAGCATTAAAGTCAATTGTTTCACAAAACTGTTAAAAGACTAGATTGCCTAAAACCAAGATAATGTGAAATTAAGTATGCCTAGTTAAATAAAATTAAATCAAATCCTTAAAGAGATTTTGATTTTGTTTCTTTATATTCCTATTTTCTAAATAGTCTATAAAGAACTTCTATTGTTTTATAGCTACAAAAAAGTTGTATGTTAATTTTTATATGTAAAACTGTCTATAAGTACAATCATAAATAAAGAATAACAATCAAAATTAAGGAGAAAAATATTAGAATATAATAAAACTACAAGGAATTTGAAAACTTCATTCTGTTTTTCTACAGATTTCAAATTATATCCATTAAACATGAGTTATTTTTATAAAGAATTAGAAATATAATTTCATGAATAAATCAATTAAAATGGAATACCCTCCCCTTTCTAGCTAGTCTTGCTGAAAACACAGTTCCTGGGACAATGTGCTTTTCAGAGTTGCAAACAGCTGAAACATACAGTCAGCATGACATCCTTAGGGTTTATCTCTATTTTCTACGCACTGACCATGAAGCAAGCAGAAATGCCGAAGCAGCAGTTGGCAAAATGGCAGGAGTCCAGCCCCAAAGTCATGGGAGCTGGCATCCTATATCACTCTGGACAAATTCCTTCATCTTTTGGCCTCAGTTTCCCCATGTACAGAATGGGAAGTAGAGGCTGGGCCAGTCCTGTCCAGCTATGATATAAGAATTCCACTTTTCTGTAAGTCTGCTATGAAGTGCATTTAATGACATCACCAGCAATCAATGAGTTAAGCTATAAAATCAATACTTTCATCTGAACAATGTAACAAATACTCCAATTGCTCATTGATTAAACTTTCAATGAGAACTAGGAAACAATTATGGAGAAGTACTCATATACACATACACATATGTTAGAATATCAGAAGTATATCTAAAAACAAAAAAGAAATAGGATATAAACATGATATATTCTGAGACTGTAATTTGACTAAATTTTACAATTTACTTCCTTATCTATCTAAACGTAAGGCTGCAAAACTGTGACCAAATACATGCTTGTTTATATTCAACAAGAAATCCCAGCCAGAAGCATTTGGATACACACAGGTCATGTCGTCATCCAAATATCTACTGAGGGTCCAGAAAGAGTCTGGTACTGGAGACACAAGGATAAACAAGAAATGAAGAGGCACCCACAATCTACAACAAGGACAGATGCAAAGACAATTACAAAATAATGAAATAAATGTAACAACATAATCACACTCAAGTCACAGTGGAACCAGAGAGGGGAAATAACATGTTCTGTGGAAAGAGGCCCATGGAGTTACAGGAGGGGACACCTAGACAAGTCACCAAAGATGGCATGCACATGTTTGTGTATTAGGGGATGGGGGGAGATGTTCCTAGTTTTATTTTTATAATCTATGTCCACCCTGAATTCATAAGTGGAAAATACATAAGCATCACATTATCTTCTAAGTCAAGGGCAAATCTGCTGCTTTTCTGTCCGGGTGCCTGCCTCCCATGCTTGCACAGGAAGTTGTCTGCTCTTTACTGCCATCTCTCTGTGACTGGATACTCACCAATTCGGGTCTTGTCAACAGCAGATGGTAAAAGCCTCACTTCCTCCGGAAGTCCTCGAAGCACATGCTCAGGTACCTCCTCCAGCGTCTCGGTGGCTGCCACAGACTCAGCAGCACTCTGCAAGTCAAGAAATAGAAGGATCACAGCAGGAGCAAAGATGCCCAACAGTGTTTGGGTTTTTTCTCCTTTCTGGTCCAATAGCAAATATGCAAAACTGTAACTGAAGCTGAAGCAGGTGAGGCCAACTGAGTCGATGCTATTAAGCACTCAGGTGTGTAGGAGCACACGTGCTAGCGAGTCTCCAGAGATAACCACCCAAGCCAGTCTGCCTTCATCTGTTCTGTTCCAGCCATGTGGAGCCATCCTCAAAACATGCAGATCTATAGCACCATACTGCTCTTTAAGTTCTGGTAGCAAAATACATCCTAAGCTAACTTTTAAATCAAACACTAAAAGCAGCACGTCAGCACATTTAAGACACAAGAATCAACACTCCCCACTTAAAAGAATACTTTTGGCACACCCTAGAAAGGCTGCTCTGACCAAACCAATGCTGCCCCACCTGCGCATCCCTCCAGCGACCATGCCCAACCTGACCAAGAACACTGAGGCTTACTACAGGCCCTCGCTGCAGTGGGGTCCTCCAGGACACCAAACTGACCACTGCATAAGCAGGTGGGGTCCTCCAGGACACCAAACTGACCACTACATAAGCAGAAGAGTCCGTGAGAAATAGAGAATTCTGTAAGGAAGAGCAAGCGTGATTGTTACTTTAAGAACTTTCAAATCAATGGAATACCAAGTGTCTACCAACTGGTACCACATATACCCCAGAGAACAAGTGTGCTTACCAAGCCTAGCTGAGGCCACAACACTGACATCACAACACTGCTCAGGATGATGAGTTTTGTAATCTGTGTGTGTTTTACTTCACTGAAAAGGGAAAGACTCCCTGTATAGCTATCCTTATCTCAACTAGCAAAACCCCTTGGTCCTTCCTATTATTGCTTATACTCTCTCTTCAACAAAATTAGAGATAAGGGCAAAATAGTTTCTGCCTGGTAGTGAGGGGGTGGGGGGAAGGGGGGAGAAATGACGCAAACATTGTATGCACATATGAATTAAAAAAAAAAAAGGAAAGACTTCTCAGACTCTAAAGGACCCAACACAGGCAAAAAGCAAAGTCCAAGTTAAAAAGATTAATTTTTCTCAAAACAGTGAAGCTCTTGTAGTTCTTAAGAATATTATGCGCCAAGGAAAAAAATCCAAACTAGCAGACTCCCAACATTTCGATTTTTTTAAGTATCAACAGACTGCTTCAAGAGAAACAAATTCCACAGTCATCACAAAGGCCTGCTCTCTGGAATGATGGAACTCATAAAGCCTAGGAGGCCATCTACAGCCCAGCCGGGTCACTTTGGGCAGGGCCAAGCCACCAGTGTGCGCAGCGCCTCGCTCTGCCCTGGGCTGCATGTTTGTCTCTACAGAAACCCCTGCACACCTCCCAAAACCTGGGACTTCCCATTGCCCAGCAAGCGGCCTTCTGAAATGCAGCAGGCATTTCTCACCACTAAGGAAGGGATCCCATTTGAAAATCTTTAATCTATAAATGGGATTTTCAGAAATGTGAACAAGCTTTTTTCCAGTGAGGGAAAGGTATTCAGCCGGTAGCTGGTATCCTTGGGAACATAATGATTATTTTACAACACTGAGCTAAGCCACATTAACAAATGTTGGCAGAGTTCTAGTCCCGGGAGCACTGCCACTTAGTACCTCAGACAGAGTTTTCTTCCCTTTCTCTCTGTGACCCTGGGCTCAGCCTTGGCCCCACTTCCCCTGCCGAGGAGCATTGCCCTTGACAAGATGCTGTGCTGCTGGCCTGGACTGCCGCCTCCTCACATGCTGCCACACTATTACCAGTGACGACTGAGTACGTACCACAAAAGACGTACAGCAAAGGCACTGTGCTAACCATCTCACATGCATGACACTGTCCCAAACAGCCCAAGAGGAGATCCTACCAGCACCTTACCCCACACCCTCCACACAGAAGACAAAAACTGAAGCTGGGGCAGTGACTGAAGGGGCTCACAATATGAACCTGAACCCTTGTCCGTTTGACTCTAGCTCATAACCACTGCAGGGTTGGTTCCAAGACTCACTGGAATTGTGAGAATCTCTGCCCGAGGACTCCAGCCTTTCAGGGAAGTGTCAACAGGACATGGCACCTAGGACAGGAATGGCCATCCCCCAGAGGAAACGTGTAACTTGAGGACAACATGGGAGGCTGAAACCTCTCAAAGTCCTGTGAATATAAAGGACCACAGCAGAGTCCCTAAGAATCAGGTACTCATACAACCATGTCACCGACTGACTTGGAAGAGTTGCAGGAGAAAAGCATCATCTTAGGACTCTACTTACCTGTTTCAGGTCAACCTATGATTTTTTTTTTTTTGGTCTCTTTTTGAGATAGGGTCTCACTATGTATCCCGGACTGGCCTGAAACTTAATGTAGCTAACACTGGCTTTGAACCCTTTTTTTTTAGTGGGAACTGAGGTTTGAACTGAGGGCCTCATGCTTGCTAGGCAGGCGCTCTACCACTTGAGCCACTCCACCAGCCCCTTATTTGTGTTGGATATTTTCAAGATAGGGTCTTGAACTATTTGCTCAAGGCTGACTTCAAACCATGATCTTCCTGATCTCTGCCTCCTGAGCAGCTAGGTTTACAGGCAAGAACCATCAGTGCCTGGCTTGGCCTAGAACTCTTGATCCCCCTGCCTCAGCCTCCCTCCAAGTGCTGGAATTACAGGTGTGTGCCACCACCACACCTGGCCTCAACCCATGACTTTCAAGGTAAGTTCATTTTCCTAGGAGAATAAAGCCCTTTTCTGCTTACTACAGTATTCTTCACATGACAACAGGTCTCAAATAAAACAAGGGGCCTCAATTCACTGCCACTCACTCTAGATGCCGGCTGGACATGGACCTTCTCTCTCACCTGTCCAGCTGCTGGAATCTACACAGCAATGGCTCTGGTTGCAAACAATCTAGAACATTCTTAGCAAATCAAGGATCCCCTAGCAAAAGACAACAAGCCTGTGGAGTGGCTTGCCTAACGGAGCCACCCTCTCGTTTTCCTGACCGTCCTTTCATAGTTCCTAATTTTTAATAATTATCCGTGCAATTGTTTGTTTAGTGGGTACCTCCCCCATGTAGTAAAGACAGACAACCTCGCTCACACATGGCGATATGTGGGTTCATTTCCTCAAGGTCAAGCAGACTTGAAATGTCTGCTGTCACTCACAAACTTGAATGAGCACCTGATGCTCTGTTTTTGGAAAAGGGAGGGATAGACAGGGTCATCTTTCAGGAAGCATTTATTTCACATGGACCTGAGTTTCTTGAATTTGCAGTATGTCTTCTTTCGGGTTGATACAGTTGTCCCTCAGTACTGGGGAAGAACTGGTTCCGGGCCTCCCTCCCCCACCTATATGGAATCAAAGTCCAGGGATGCTCACTGTATAAATGGCACAGTGTGCATATGGCCTGCACACACTCGCCCACATAACAATTACTTATAATACTTGATAGAATGCAAATGCTATGTGAGTAGATGTTATACTGCGTTGCTTGGGAACAATGACAAGAAGTCTGTACATGTTCAGTACAGGGAAAAGGGTTTGTCTTGAGTTTTTTTTTTTAATATTTTCAATCTAGACTCAGTTGAATCCATAAGCACAAACCATATATGCATATGGACAGCTATTCAAAAATCCCTTCATAGAAAACATGGTTTGCTCTCCATTCTAAACAAGCAATTTTAGTGAGATTCCATTTCAACAAATAAGCCTGGCATGGTGGTGTACATCTGTAATCCCAACTACACAGGAGGCATGGGTATGAGACCATGATCCAAGATCATCCCTGGGCAGAAACATGAGATTTTATCTGAAAAATAACTAAAGCAAAACAGGGCTGGCTCAAAAAAGTGTGTGTCAAGTGGTTAAGTGCCTGCCTAACAAGCTCAAACTGAGTTCAAACTCCAGGACTACCAAAAAATAAAAATTAAAAATCTTAAAAAAATTATCTTTTCCCCTACACACTCATAAACTGGGGTTACATACATACATACACCAACATACCTGGTTTATTGCTGAGATAAGAGTCTTGCTAACCTTTTGCCTTGGCTGGCTTGAACCACGAGCCTGCAAATCTCCTCCTGATCTCTGCCTCCTGGGTAGCTGAGATTACAGACATGAGCTACCATGCCCAGACTGAGTGCTTTTTTCTATATATATCCTAATAGTACTTGATATATTTCCATTCTTTGAGCAGGGTCATCTTCATTCTTATGCCAAAACAAACACAATTTGATCCTGGAATTCTCAGCCATATTGATCTTATCTAAAAGAAACTGCAATGTCTACTCAATTTTAATGTATTAACATATTTCTGAGTCTCATGTTAGCCCCAACAATGTATCTCTGGTGAGGAACAGACAAAATGCAATACACATGCAATGCCTGATGCTCGGAGAAAACTCCAGCACAGAAGAGGACACAGTGATGCTCAGGACCCAGAGCAGAAAGGCAAGTGTGTGACAGGGTGGTGGGGGACTTGCCAGGAAAAGGCAGCAGCGAGAACCAGCCCTGGTTAGGAGGAAACCAGTGCTCAGAGAGCCTCTGGGCAGAGAGAGTGATGTTGTACCCAGAGAAGAAGTGAGAGAGGCAGCTGGGGTGAGGCTGAGGAAACACAAGGTTGCATCTGTTCAGAGTGAGAGACACAGGCACCCAGCCAGAGAGCAGGAGGCAAGTCAGCAGGAGCTGTGCTCCCTGTTTCCCATCTGTCCTTTCTGCACCTATGTGAGGGCACCTTACTGTTTCAAGGGTTTTTAATACTGATGCTGTGATAAAAACTGGAGAAGTTACAATGTAGGCCTCCATGAGGACTCATTTTTCAGGGCTCTATGAAGCAGTCTCCAAGTGTGTATCAATGCTCAGATCTGAACACTGAGTACTAAATTTAACATGCAAGATTTAAGTTAACTTAATAAGTTAGTTAGTAACTATTAATTGATTTCCTTAATCTGACTTTCTAACTTCCCACTACCTCACAC